GGAACGAGGGAATTTTTTTCAATTTTTAAGGGTAATGTCTTCAACTAGATACGATTTGTGATCTTTTGACGTATTTTTGAAAGAAATCGGTCCAGTGAGAGCTGAGAAAAAGTGGCAACAGACACAAAAAAAAAAAAAAAAACACATCTTAGTAAAATTAATACCTTCTCCGCTTCGCATCGAAGCTAAAATCAAATACTCTTTATTATTAATATACAACCTCAAACATTGTTATATAAATTCAAAGTTTGTGATCCTATTTGATAAATATTATACAAAGATAACAAGTAATAACAATTTTAAATTATAGTTTTTTTTATTAAATTTCAGTGTATAGAATCCGATAATACATAACTANGATTTGCATCGAAGCGTTTCTTATGATAGTGATTTTAATCACTGTCAGATTAAATCTATCTGGACCCAACTATGCAATGTCTCCACTATGCCGCGACCCCACTGTGCTACCGTTCTATTTTTTATTAAATTTCAGTGTATAGAATCCGATAATACATAACTAGATCGCAAGGTGAAAAAGAAATAAAACAATAAAAACTATAAACTATGGAATGGCCAGCGGCTGCAATTAACTAAATATAAATATCACACAATACAAAATTTTATGTAGTTTTATGGGGTTGACTGGTATATTTATTATAATAATAAATATCTCAAATATCCCAATAAATAATTTATAATAACTTATTTATTGTCATAAAATAATACCCGATGAAAGAATATTTTATATACTATATAATATATTAGGCCAGTCAACGAAGAAGTTTGGCAAATGGCTGAAAAAATTCCCAACCAAATTTTTTTTTTTAAAAAGTTGAATTAAGATATGTATAATGACATACTAAAAGTCCTCATTGATTGGAATTGAGCTTTTTTTTACAGCCTTGCAATAGTTCAAAATATGAGCTTCTTTAATTTTCTCAAAAAATATTTAACTTACAACAAAAAATTTCGTACAAAAGTTGTTTAAAAGACAATTATAAACAAAAAATGTTTTTTTTATTTTTCCATTTAAACAAATATTTTTCGAGTTGCATTACATTTAATATGATTGCTAAAATTTTTTTTCGATTTTACAGTTACTTTTTATCATGTTATACTTACATTAGATAAAATGTTATAAATGCATATGTGTGTATGTGTTAGTTTATTTATAGTATCATTAAAGTGTAGCGTATATTAAGATACAACCGATTGAGTAGGTAATTGATTTGACGCTATATTGCTTAAACCCAACCAAACACTAAATTGTACATTTCCAAACAAAAATTTTATTATATCGATTGCCACCAGGAAAAGTAAGTACTTTTTTGTTTTTTAGAATATAATGTGAGTTTTATAAAATCGCTGTCTTGTCTAAAATAATAATATTATTTTACTAAAGTAGTCGAAAATAAAACGAATAACATGACAATATGATTATAATAAATTATTTTAAATGTGTGTTAATTAATTTATGTGGTTCAAAATATTTCAATAAGATAAATTGAAGTAAAATTAATTTTAATAATTCAAGGAAAATATGTTAAGAATAATATGTGTATCACACGTTTAATTTAATGGGTAAGAAATGATGGCAATCAACTTCATTAAAATCATTCATAGTTTTACATATTTAGCGAATTTTAATTTTATTAAATCAAGTTGTATTAATTTTATATTAATTATCTCAATATTTTTGATGTTATACCTAATTTGTGATTCAATCCGTTCCAATATGCTATCTGAAGAGTTATTGAATTTAAAGCCAACTAAAGTTAGGTTAACAAAACCAACGTATGGAGAAGTATAACCATGTTTATTTATTTATTTTATAATTTCACGGGTAGAAGCCTTTTTTACAAACAATACAAGTACATAAATTAGGTAATCGTAACATAGACAAAGATATATACTAAAAATATGTAAATTAATTATTAAACGCAAAGATAGAAATACAAAATTAAAATGAAATTAATTATTAAACAAAAAGAAAAATACAAAAATTAAAATGAAAAATTAGGGTCAACATTGGCATTAGACATAAGACGCCTAAGTGGCTCATTTTTTGCATAATTAGTTAGGTAGTGGGAGACAACAAATGGTGCAACAAGAAATAATAAGTACTGTTGGATACACATCGATCGAATTATGCTGTCAAGAAAATGTGTTTTTGATTATTCATGTTATCGTTGTGTTACATCGAGTTGTTGTCGGTTTTCTCTCTATGTTACCATTGACGCCGCCATCTTAACGCTTCTTCTGCTATAAGCTCTATGGCGTTTGCGAGCCAGTAGTTTTGTATTCGTTTTACTGTAAAAAGAAAATATCACTTTTGCGACTGTCGTACCCTGTGCGCTCAGTTTATCGCCGTTGGGTCTATATATTTTCTGAGATACATCACAATACCGTTGGCAGCATATTGTACACTTTGGTCAGCTACTTGTATTCGACTTCAATTGATCCTTTCAATATTCAACATTATCATCAGCCGTTTCATTTAGCAGATAGTATAAAGCTTGTTCATTTATCTTTCTAAGACTAACTTGTATAATTATAATTATTTGTTTATATCATCGCCTTAGTGGCATTAGTATTAAGTGTTCCCCCTGTCCACATTGGTGTATATTTCTTGTATAAAACATTTAATAGTTATAATTATATCTTGTGAAATTCATTCTACATTCAAACATACAGTCCACTCACCTTATTATTTATCTTCGACATAGCTAAAAAATTTAAGACAAAACAAAACCACGAACGTTAACGAACCCGCGTGAATACCACCGGGCGCTGCGTTCAAACAAGTACTATGTTTTAAACATAGTATATGTTGGAACCTTTATTAGAACATATGATAAATGCCCTTAAGTTTTTTAATTATAAATAAAAAGCTGTGCAAGATAATCTTAAAAAACTGAAAAAATCGATTAAAGAAATCACTGTAGAAAACAAGCTCAGTGAAGCTGAAATATTTGATCATATTATCGAAGTGGTAACATTTAGTGATGATCTTAAGGAGTTTAAATATTCACATTCTGTTGATAAATATAGCGATCCATTTATCACTAATTTTATTAACTGCTTATGTGGTGTTAAGAATTATCAAATACAAGATCAATTATTTATAAATCCTGCCATAAACAATATCGAAAATACAATTTTTTGTAAATTTTTTAAATTCAAATTTTATTTATGTGAAGTTTGAAAAAATAATCAAGATCGTAACATTTATTTGTTTATTTATAAAATTAATATGCATAATTCTTTTTACAATCACAGGTTGTTTAACAATTTCTTAAAATATAATATAAGTTTAAACAATTCATTTAAAATATTAGTGCAAATTAATATGACATAAAATATACAAAATTAATCATATTTTAAGATACACATAGTATGATATAACACTAGGGTTAATAAAATAACATATAAGGGTCCATATTGGCACTATTTAAAATTTGTCTGGACGGCTCATTTCTTAAATTATTAGTAGAACTAATTGGGTCGAACAATTGAAAATAGGAACGTGAAATTCTCTATAGAACTTTAAAATTAATAAATGACAAAAGATAAGTTGAGTATGGTAAACATTCACCAATTCATTTAAAAACTTTAGGTCAGAATCAATTCTACGATCCGCTAGCGATGTCAAATTGAGTTTGCTTGCAATGGCAGTATAATCATGAGGAACATGTTGAATATTCGATATAAATCCAGCATACGGTAAAAATGTCTGTTGCACTCTTTCAATTTGAAAAAGATAAAGAATGAGCTCTCCGAACAATAGCACCATATTCAAGAATTGGCAGGACCAATGAAGAATATAAAATTTTCAAAGAAAAATTAAGTTTTAAATTAGAAGGTAGTCTAAAATTCGAGTACCTTAAACGCTTTACACACTATTTTGATGTGTCTAATGTGCTATTAAATTTAAAACCAAGATCTAATACAAAATCGTAATAAAATATTTAAATACATTAGAGATAATTTTTGTGCAATAATGGTAAATTTTTTATAAAATATAAAACAACACAAAGTGCTAGTATTATTGTATGCAATAAAAATATGTATAGTATAATCAGGTGCAAGAAAACCTTTTCAAATTTTCTAAAATTATGTATTTTTTAAAATTACTCGAATTTTTTTTAAAACAAACTAATATTAATGAAAATAGGTTGATAAGTAAAATCACATAATTAATCAAAAACTAAAAATTATATTAATATTTTTTAAAATTTTTTTTTTGTTAAGGTTTTTATCAATCATGAAGTACTTTTATATGCATCTCTTATACTATATAAGGGTATCAATTTTGTTTTTTTAAGGTTAACAATATCTTTTTTTTTTTTATATTTTTTTAGCTTTATGACGACAATATAAATCACCTATCGTCAAAAATAGTGACATAACTCAAAATTTTTGATTCTTTTAATTTTCATATTAAGACAAATGAAATTTATTAAATTTTAATCCAGAAAAGTTCTATAAATTTACCATAAGGGAAAACGAGACAAGATGAACTTCTTGCATTTCAGAAAAATATAGTAATATTTTCGAACTTGTTTTGTAGTATTTTATAACATGTTAACCTATCAATGACAAAGTTTTCAAAAATAATTTAAAATAACACATATATTTTTTTATATCACACTTATACCATTTGAAAATATTGTTGTTTTTCGACGTCAAGTCATGAGTGTGAATAAATAATTACATATTTTTTATTGAAATAGTTAAAGATAAACATAATAAATAAAATGTATTAGAAATTTTAGATCTCATTCAAATAAGTATATTACTTATGAGGTTTTTTAAATAAAAATGAAATTGGGAAGTGGTTTTTTTTTTAATTTGTATATGGAATTTCTATATACAAAATAATTTCCCTATAATAATTTATTAGGGATATTCAAATCGATTTCCCTTTTAAAGTATTTTTATAATCCAATTTTTTTTTTTAATTACTGGGTTAACTACTTAATTATTAATTTTTTTTAATTTAACCCTAGTCATCAAATTTGTATTTCATTTCATTTGATCTTGAAAACATTGGTCCATAATTGCAAGATCAAAATTTAGAGTACAAAAACTAAATGATTTAAAAGCCTGTTGAAAAAGGGGGATTATGGAAAAGTAGTGTGGTGACACGCGCTAGTTTTAAATTTGAATTCTTTGACGGCTTAGCTGAGGTGAATTGACATCCGTTCTAGACACCAGTTGCCATTATTAACAGCCGGTATTGGCCATTCATTGTTTTCTAGTTGTCAGAAAAATTGTTATATATGTACATGTTATACAAATTTGATTTATTTTAATATTTATCTTTTAAAATATTGTTTTATTGATTTTTAGTTTTAAGAGAATATTAATAATGTTATGTATAAACTTGTTTAAATGAATGTATTTTATTATTAAAATAATGAGTAAAATAAAAATAATCACTTGGCAAAATTACCATATATTTCCAACAATAAAATACAATCACAAAAATACTGTTTAAAACATAGTTTACCAAAGTTAACAAATTCAATTCAATTTTATATTAATTTTTTAATACTCCCCCGTTTAAACAAATTCTTTTGCTATTCCATTACAAATACTTTTTAAAGCTGCTACATCATCGTCCAATTTCTTCACACTGGAATTATGAGGAGGCCAATATTTTAATAATTCTTTATTATGTTCTACTACTGACCGGAACGAATCCCATTCAATTTTATAGTATAATACAGCATCGTTTATATATTTTTTTTCATATTTAATAGGAAGTACTTCTAAAACAAGTAGATTTATATCGTTAAGTTTACCTATGGAATAAGTTTCTTTTTGACAACAACGTATTAATTCATTATGTATATCTTCTAGTTTGGGTACAATAATATTTAATTCTTTTGTGAAAAAATATATACCTCGCACACCCTCTAGGATTTTTGTATGAATTTCTCTCCATTCACTATTAACTGTATGGAATGTTGAAGTAGCCAATGCTCCATAATACCCCAATAAAAAAATATATTTGTACGACCTGTTAATTAGTGCTTTCTTCTGATACTCGTTTGGTTGAGTTTCTGTATATTTTACAAATACTTTTTTGAAAAAACCCACAAAACCATTGTTTTCGACGGATTCATTGTCTAACCAACTCCAATCGCGATCGGCTTGTACACGTTGTATACATAAATTTTCTTGGAATATTCTTAATATAAAAAAAATGTAAAAGATTTTAATCATATTTTAGTATAGAAATATTTTTTTATTCAATAAGAACTACAAAAATCGTTTTAATTTCTGACAAAATAAAATGTTTTTTATAGTGTTAAATTTTAAAAATTATATAAATAAGTAAATAAGTTATTAGTAAATAAAATGGTTGTATTATTTTCAGATTAATATATTTAAATATAAGCTGTTCATACAATCTTTAGTAACTGATTTGTTTAGATAATTTCATTTTCATTTAGTATATTGTAAAACGTTAATTTATTGTTGAACATAAATTTTCGTTTTAAAATAATTTGAAATATTGCTACATTAAGAAATTTATGTTAATTGAGACTTCATTTAGATTTATAAAACATACGATATTCTTTATCCAAATTATAATATTCTATTATTTTATAGTTTAAAAATTCATCATTAAAATACTTTATTTTGAAATAAAAATTCAAAAATAGAATCTTGTATAAATAATTATGTATTTAAAACAATTCGTTTAAATCTTCAAAATTTGTGTTTTCACGATATTATGAAATGGATAAACTTAAACAGAACACAATTAAATTAACAAAATTATTCTATTAAATTCTCATAGTATTAAGTAAATAAGATGTATATTAAATTTTCTAATTTGAAAAACTTTATTCCTTAGAAAGACCAATGTCACAATAATTTTATTATTCAACGCTATTTCTTTTTTATTATTCTTCATAAGATTTTACTAACTAAACTGTAAAACAAAAGACGTTTGTATTACATATTTAATACTTATTTTCATTAAAAAATAAAAATTGGAATTTTGTATATAAAATAAATTAGTATTTGTCCTTTTTTTACAGATTCAACAATACATGTGTTAAAATTACTTAAGTATAAATTTGTAAAAAAAAAATTGTAGACTACTCTTGTTATATACACACATAAATAAAATTATTTATAAATTTAGGTCTTATATCTGAAATTAATCATTGTATTAGATTCGATGCAAAGCTGAGAAGATATTTTACTATGTTATTTTTTTTTATGTGTGTCTATTACCACTTATTCTCAGCTTTCAGAATTGATGATCAATACATCAGAAGATCACAAATTGAATCTGGTCGCAGAGATTACCCTCAAAAATTGAAAAATTTTCCTCGTTTCTCATAATTAGGGGAAAGCCCCAAAACATTTTCAATTTTAAAAATTGGTAATTTTCAATGTTTTTAAACTTTTTTTAGTAAAACAAAATATTTTTATAGATACATTAGGTATTTCTCTATTATTTAGATGGGTTTTAAACTTATGTAATATATTTTACTATGAAAAAAAAAAAAAAATTCGAACTATAGATTGTCTTCATGGTGAAAATTGCACACAAAAAATTACTTAGTTCAAATAAAATTGACCTAGCTAAAATTTAAAAAAAAAAATGATTTTTAGTTTCACCTGAATTTAACAATTAATTTTTACAATTATAATCAAATTTCATTGTACACTCAATTGAGTAGATTTGTTTAACAACCTTTTGTTTGGTTTTTTAGTTACAGGAAATCATTAAAATTTATTAAATTCTGAATATTTCAATTGTAGAACCTTTTTATAAATCAAAAGTTACTTAGTAATAATAATTATGATTTCTATTAAAATTATTTATTATAATAAAAATGCAAAAAAAATAAATAGTGATTTAAAAAAAAAAATTCAACTGTTAGTGATTTAAATCACCGTCAGATATCATCATACACTTGTCCCAACTATGCCACATCCATACTGTGCCTCGACCCCACTGTGCTACTGTTTTTTTTTTTTTATAAGTGAGTTGAACACGTATGTTGCCATTAATATAATAAAGCTGACACCCGTTTAAGTGTTAAAATAAAAAAAATATTCTAATTGAAAAATCGAGAAGTATAAAAAACTAAAATAATCAAAAATGATTTTTGGTTGAAGTCTATTTTTCGATTTCTATTGCTTCCTTGTACATCCGTTTGCCAAAATGAGTTTCTTTATTTAGTATTTTTATTTTATGGAATTGTATGTCATGCCCTCTGTTTTTGGCATGTTTGGCATGTTCAGCTATTATAAAGTAGATTCAGATAATTTTCGGCAAATTTCAACAGAGAAGATGGATGGAAAATCAGCAAAACTTGGTGACCTATCATATACCAGACAAAAAGAACAACCAACCAACAACACTGAAAATAATTCAATATACGAAGAGGCTACAATCAACATAACAAATAATTGCCGGTGTAGGAAAGGAAGACCGAAATGTCAAGAATGCCGTAAATAACGTTAGTCAAAAATCGAAATGTTGTCAACAACATTAGTCAAAAACCCGGATACGGTAAACTACATTAGTCAAAAACCAGATGTTATCAATTTTATAAAAGCAGACTGTTATCAAGATAAGCCGCCAGTATAGTTGCAGCCACCGACTAGCAACCATCACTCTGAAGATGGACTCTGCAATAAGTCCGAAACGTCAGAACTCAACTGCAAACATGGATATATCCTTTAGCACTTCAACCAAAAATCATTTTTGATTATTTTAGTTTTTTATATTTCTCGATTTATCAATTAGAACTTTTTTTTTATTTTATCACTTTGGAGTCCCGACTAGGGTCTAAGTTCCGAGTTGGGCCCATGTTGGAGCAGATGTTGAGGAGCCGGGAGGCGTGGAGGTCTTGTTGTCTTGTCTAAAGCCTGGGTCAAAATAACGAATCTGATATTTTTTATTTAGGAGAATTTGCTTTTGAGATAAAACTTATTATAATTAATAATTAAGTTTTTTAAATTAAATTAAGTTTTATTATTATTAACTAAATTAGTTTGTAATAATAAAAAAAAATTTTGTTTTTTTTTTTTAAATTGCATTGCTTATATCTTTAAACATTATTTTTGTTAAATTTGTATAGTACTTCATTGTTTAACAAGACGACGTAATAGAATATCTGTTATAAATAACGTATTTTCAAGTAATTATTTTTAAAATATAAATGAATAAATTATGAAAGATAAATAAAAATTGTACAGTTGGCCTAACATTGCATTGTGTTTATAAATTATTTATATTCCTACTTAAAAGAAATAACAAAAGACAATTAAAAAATGGCAATTCATTATACATAAATATCAATATAAGTATTGTGTGTTATTTTAGTGCACATTGGTATTAATTTATAAAAATTTTATATTATTTATTTACAATTTTTTTTGTGCAAAATATGTATTTTTTAAACTATTGTTTTGCATTAATCATTATTTTAATTCAATCATTACCTTCATATTTTGTATTAATCAAATTAAGTCAAAATGAAAAAATTGAAATTCTTAATAAAATGCTTGTGAATGTGGATATATGGTATCAATTTAAGAGTATAAAAGTTAAATGTGGAAATATCCAAAACAAGCAAATTTATACAGTTAATAACATCTTTGATAATATCGCCTACAAAAAATATATATTCCAGAATAATATGCCATTAGTTGAAAAGCCTGATAAACTACGTTTGTCACAATATTTGCATGTTAATTCAAGCAATTATGAATATAAAGTAGACTTAATTTTTAAATTCATAAGGTGTAAATGTTGGAAACAAATTAAGTTTTGTAATCGAATTTTGTCATACATGACAAATGGTTATAAGATGATCTATGATAAAGACATAATAACACAAGAAAGAACAATGACCTTAAAAATAAAGGATTTGCTCCTTAAGAAAATTCAGGAATATAAAGAATTGGTAGGTAAACTTTTTAATTATGCATGTTTTTTTAAAAGGTTATTTCCTGAAGGAAAAGATAAAATAAGTGATGGTGATCTATTTTTTTCGAAACTATTGTCCATAATAAATATGCCATTACCTGATGGTGATAATATTGCAAATGATTTGAATGATAAATTAAAAAAATCATTTAAGGATATGCATAATTCTTCAAAAAATTTATGTATTTATTCAAAGAAAATTCCTCACAAGTTTTCGTATGACAAAAGTTACAAAGATTCTAAGTCGGCTAGTTTAGAATATAAGGAAAGCTTTGCAGAATATATGAGTAAATACTTTGATTTATTTGCAAAAGAAACTTATGAATTGTTTTCACAGTTGTCATTATATAAAAATTAGAATAATACATAAGATTAAATTATCAATTATTAATATTTATAAAAAATATATGAAACTAAAACTGAAAATGGCAAATCAGATTTTTATAATAGTTGTTATTTTAAGAGAAATCGAGTGACTCTTATTAATAAATTACCCCGTGAATTCAACACTTAAATTTTTATAATTATAGTATATTCTTATATTTAAAAAAAATATAACTATTAGCTTCGATGCGAAGCTATTAATTTTACTATGATTTTTTTTTTTGTGTCTGTCAATACTTTTTCTCATTTCTCACTGGACCGATATCTTTCAAAAATACAACAAAAAATTACAAATCATATCTAGTTGAAGACATTAGCCTCAAAAATTAAAACATTTTCCCTTTTTCCACGTAAATGTTGATAATCACCTAAAAAAATTATAATTTTTAAAATCTGTAAGTTTCGACATTTTTTTTTTTCTAAGAATTGTCATAACATATATTATATTTGAACCTTAGATATTTTCCTTTCATTTGATAACATTTTTTTGAAAATCTGATCCATTACCCACAAGAGAGGATTCAAAATAGCAACTTTTTTACAAAACTCGTCTTTTTCAAATTAATTTTTGAAATTGTTCTGGAAATAGTGCGTCCTTTAAACATTTTCAAAATAAATCAAATGTCACAAACTATAAATTAAAAAAAAAGAAAATTGTCCCGACGACTTATTTTCTACGGGCAAACGGCTGCCGTAGTTAAAAAACATTCTATTTTTATGTTAAAATTTTTTATTTTAAATTTTCAGCTTTAAATTGCAATAACATTTTGAAAAATGTATAGATCAACACAAATTTTTGTTTCTAAATACATTTTATATACCTATTACAATCCGACATACTTTTTATTAAATCGGGTAATTTCCTCTTATACAGGAGGCGTTAAAAACTTGAAACTTACGTATAAAAAGTATAACTTTTTCATCTTAACTTTTGAAAATTATCGGAAAATTCTGCGTCCTTTACATATGTTAAATTAAAGCTAACATTATGTACTATAAGTTAAAAAAAAAAAATTCGTCCCGTCAATCTATCTTCATTTTGCAAATAACTGTCAAAATTGAACAAAAAAATATAATTTCTGAGTAAAAAATCAACGTTATTTTAGTAAATAAAACTTCAATAACTTTGTGAAAAATGATCAAACCAAGGTAGTATTTTTTGTATAAACACCTAATGTATTTCAATTTCAAGGAATTTAAATATAGACACGTTTTTGAAAATTATAGCGAATCAATTATCATTAATTTTATTAACTCTTTATGTGGTGTTAGAAGTAGAAAAATTATAGATGAGAAATTTATAATTCCCGACCAAAAAAATATTCAATAAATAATTGATGATAGCATCGAGGTTTTTCATATCAATTTTGGATTAAATTTAGATATGTATGAAGGATAGCTAAAATTAAAAAATCTCATTGAAATCTAGTCTAAAAATTAATATAATGTAAAATTTGACATTTAATACACGACGTGTCAAGTATAATAATACTTTCTACACCCAGGTGCACAAAAATGTAGTATACATTATTTGTAATAAGAGAAATGCGTGATATCAATAAATATGAAACATTTTTATATTATTAATAACGTGAAACAATACTTGTTAAAACATTTTAATATAAATATATATTTCTAAAAGATAGCCTCCAGTTTCCTTATTTAACTGTCTATAATAATGATTTTATTTACCTATAAACGTTAAATTTAAAAAATGTAATAACGTTTAATACAATTATAAGTTATCAAACATTCTATTATAGTTTATCGAAAAGTAATTTAACTCTAAATGTNTTCATTAAAATCTTTGTAAAGTATTGCATATTTAGTGAATTTTAATTTCGTTAATGGTTTTTGTAATATTTTATTGTATTATTATAGTGCAGCTTTTATCATTCGTGCAAATAAAATATTCTGGCTCATAAATATATTATTTAAATAAAAATTAATTTTTATATTGGCTAAAATAACTAGTCTTTAATTTATACAAAGTTCCTATTTCTAAGTTCTATTTAATTCTTTAGATAATTAATCAAATTACTTAATTGTTTAAAAGAAATTATAAAGGGTGAATAATTGAAAACTATATCCAATTCATATTTAAATTTTAATACAAGATAAACAAGCGTATAATTTATTATCCTAAGGAATATAAAATTTATTCAGCTTTGTGTAACAATAATTTAAGTAGTTCNAAAAAAAAAACACATCATAGTAAAACCAATACCTTCTCAGCTTCGCATCGAAGCTAAAAGTCTATATCTTTATTGACAAAAAAAAAAAAAATTAAAAATCATATTTACTTAAATAAATTTTGATAGTTTAATATTAGGTCGCAAAATAATAATGTGCTGCTGCCAACACAGTATAAAAAAGTCTAACTCTAAATACACTTCATTCAAATCACTGAAAAGTTTTACACATTTAGCAAATTTTAGTTTTATATCAAGTAGTATGAATTTAATAATAATCTTCTCAATATTTATGATATTATACTTTAGTTCTGATTCAAGCTGTTCCAATGTGCCAACTGAAAAGTTATTGAATTTACAGCTAACTGACGATGTGTTAGATTTAGGGCCAAACAAAGATGAGTTAGATTTAGTACCAACTGAAGATGAGTTAGATTCTGTTATACGTCGTTCTGTATGGAGTTCATTCACTAGAACTTCATTTTATATTGATTATAATGGAGAAAAATATGATTTTGCTTTATATGGTGTAGAACATTCAAAATTTGATTTGAGATATAAAAAAGGTGGTATCATCTTAAATTCAATTTATGTGTGTCTTATTGAACAACTCTATAAAAAGTGTTCAAATGCAGCAAATCACTATAAGGAAAACTCTATAAAACATGAGGACAAATTAAATGGATTACATGAAGTATGGAGTAGTATAACCATGTTGGAACCTTTGTTAGACCATATGATTAACGCTCTTAAGTTTTTTAATTATAAAGAAAAGGCTGTACTAAATAATCTTGGGAAATTGAAAAATTCAATTAATGAAATCACCGTAAAAGAAAAACTTAGTGAAGATGAAATTAATGAAAAATTTGAAAAAATATTAGAGGTAGTAACATTTGAAAATAGTCTTAAAAAATTTAAAGATAATCACATTATTGTGTACGAAAATGCAACAGAATTAATTATTACTAATTTTATTAATTCCTTATGTGGTGTTAGGAGTTATATAATTTTAGATGAGCAATTTATTAACCCTAACCAAGCAAATATTCAAGAAATAATTGAAAATGGTATCAAGGCTTTTTATTTCGATTTTGGATTTGAATATAAAATGTTGCATCAGACAAATCTTAGAAATCTCGAGTCTAAATAGTATAAAGTGACATATCCCTATGACTAAAAAATATTTGCGTTCTTTTTTTCGAGAATGAAAAATTATTTGTTAATTTAAAATCTCAATTTATTTTTCTTTAAATAAACCTTTTGTTTAAATTTTTATCTATTTGATATAATTATTTGGAATATATTTCTGAAGTTTAATTTATTTCAAATTTTAATTTTATGCGAATTACAAGTAAATAATTTATAATAATCTACAGTTTACAATTTAAAAATATTATATCTCAAAATAATTATGTGGTGCTGCCTACAACACATAAAAAATTCTTATAATTCTAAGTCCACTTCATTAAAATCTTTGAAAAGTTTTACATATTTCCTGAATTTTAATTTCGTTAATTAAAGTAGCATGAATTTAATATTAACTTTCTCAATAATTAAGACATTATACCAAATTTATAATTTAAGCTGTTCCAATAATATTGGAACATATTATGCTAATTGAAAAGTTATAGAATTTACGTCCAACTGAAAATGAGAAAATGTTTTAATCCCAACTGATGATGAGTTAAAGTTAGTTATATGCACTTGTGGATGGAGAAATTTGAATGATACTTTATATTATTATGATCATAATNAAAAAAAAAAAAAAAAAAAAAAAAAAAAAAAAAAAAAAAAAAAAACACATCATAGTAAAACCAATACCTTCTCAGCTTCGCATCGAAGCTAAAAGTCTATATCTTTATTGACAAAAAAAAAAAAAATTAAAAATCATATTTACTTAAATAAATTTTGATAGTTTAATATTAGGTCGCAAAATAATAATGTGCTGCTGCCAACACAGTATAAAAAAGTCTAACTCTAAATACACTTCATTCAAATCACTGAAAAGTTTTACACATTTAGCAAATTTTAGTTTTATATCAAGTAGTATGAATTTAATAATAATCTTCTCAATATTTATGATATTATACTTTAGTTCTGATTCAAGCTGTTCCAATGTGCCAACTGAAAAGTTATTGAATTTACAGCTAACTGACGATGTGTTAGATTTAGGGCCAAACAAAGATGAGTTAGATTTAGTACCAACTGAAGATGAGTTAGATTCTGTTATACGTCGTCCTGTATGGAGTTCATTCACTAGAACTACATTTTTTATTGATTATAATGGAGAAAAATTTGATTTTGCTATATTTGGTGTAGAACATTCAAAATTTGATTTGAGATATAAAAAAGGTGGTATCATCTTAAATTCAATTTATGTGTGTCTTATTGAACAACTCTATAAAAAGTGTTCAAATGCAGCAAATCACTATAAGGAAAACTCTATAAAACATGAGGACAAATTAAATGGATTACATGAAGTATGGAGTAGTATAACCATGTTGGAACCTTTGTTAGACCATATGATTAACGCTCTTAAGTTTTTTAATTATAAAGAAAAGGCTGTACTAAATAATCTTGGGAAATTGAAAAATTCAATTAATGAAATCACCGTAAAAAATGAACTTAGTGAAGATGAAATTAATGAAAAATTTGAAAAAATATTAGAGGTAGTAACATTTGAAAATAGTCTTAAAGAATTTAAAAATAATCACATTATTGTGTACGAAAATGCAACAGAATTAATTATTACTAATTTTATTAATTCCTTATGTGGTGTTAGGAGTTATATAATTTTAGATGAGCAATTTATTAACCCTAAACAAGCAAATATTCAAGAAATAATTGAAAATGGTATCAAGGCTTTTTATTTCGATTTTGGATTTAGATATAAAATGTTGCATCAGACAAATTTTGGAAATCTCGAGTCTAAATTGTATAAAGTGACATATCCCTATTACTAAAAAATATTTGTATTCTTTTTTTCGAGAATAAAAAATTATTTGTTAATTTAAAATCTCAATTTATTTTTCTTTAAATAAACCTTTTGTTTTAATTTTTATCTATTTGATAAAATTATTTGGAATATATTTCTGCTGATAATAAATAATGTTACAAAGAATATAACCAAAAGTTTAATTTATTTCAAATTTTAATTTTATGCGAATTACAAGTAAATAATTTATAATAATCTACAGTTTACAATTTAAAAATATTATATCTCAAAATAATTATGTGGTGCTGCCTACAACACATAAANAATATTATATCTCAAAATAATTATGTGGTGCTGCCTACAACACATAAAAAATTCTTATAATTCTAAATCCACTTCATTAAAATCTTTGAAAAGTTTTACATATTTCCTGAATTTTAATTTCGTTAATTAAAGTAGCATGAATTTAATATTAACTTTCTCAATAATTAAGACATTATACCAAATTTATAATTTAAGCTGTTCCAATAATATTGGAACATATTATGCTAATTGAAAAGTTATAGAATTTACGTCCAACTGAAAATGAGAAAATGTTTTAATCCCAACTGATGATGAGTTAAAGTTAGTTATATGCACTTGTGGATGGAGAAATTTGAATGATACTTTATATTATTATGATCATAATGAAAATAAAGTAACTTTCTAAGTATAATTTGTAGAACAATCAGAATTTGATTTGAAATACAAAGAAAGTGGTGTTGGGACGGGGGCTGCAAATACTATGCCGCTTACCCCGGCACCTATAATTTCTTTATAGGGAATGAGTGGACTGTATATTTTAATAGGAAAAGGGAAGGATCTTCTGATCAAAACGCAAGTACTCTGAATAGGGAGGGTTCGCCTACACTAATCATGGGAGTGAAATGGTCAGGTAACAATAGATGTTTAATTAAAACTTATAATAATAATAAAACCAATAATTCGATAATAAAATGCAATTTTACAGAACTATAATAAATAAACAATTAACTGCAATGATATTGGTAACTAAATATTTCAAAATAAGATTGCCTCATTGACACAAATAAATACTAAATATATATATAGATCAATTATAAAAATATATATATATTTTTTTGTTATACAATTGAATTAAAATTTACCTTTTAGGCACAACAATAATAACATTTTTTGAATAACAACAATATTAATTTTATAAATCTACCACAAAAAAATCTAATAAACGATAAAACCACAATAAAAATAAAACTATTTAATAACTAAGAGTTCACTAGTAATTTAAATACAAAAATTATAACTAGAAATAAGTATATAAATTGGTAACTATAATTTGTTTTTAATTTATAAATTAATATAAGTTTCTTAAATGAATTGATCATTAACATATAATATAAAGCTATCGTATATTATCTTTTTTATACTTATAAAAATATTTCATAATTACTCAACAATAACATAATTCAAATAAACAAACTGAAAGAACATTAAAAGATGTATGCGCACTGATTAAATTTGACTTAACCTAATATACATGGACAGGGAAATGAAGGGAAAATCATTGCAGTTCAGCCATATACTTTAAAGGATCAAAAAGGAAAAGAAACTTACCAAATTCATTAGAAATTTTCCACGTAACATCTACTAGTTTTGATTTTACAAATACAAATTTTGGAAACTGTTCTGTTGAAAAATATTGGATATTATAAAGTACTAGATAGTTTAATTATAAACATGAATGACAGATTTTCTGAAAAAAGCTTAAAATTAGCAGTTGCAGTTGACAAATTGATTAAGTTAGACTTTGAAAATAGTATGGATTTTATGAAAATGATAATGTTGAGTATTGAAAGGATCAATTTAAATTAAATGCAAGTAGCTGACCTACGTGTACAATATGTTGTCAACTGTACTGTGATGTAATTTAGAAAATATATAGACCCAACGGCGATATACTGAGGGCACAAGTGTGCGACAATAGCAAATATTTTACTTTAACAACAAATTGAATACAAAAACTATCTGGTTCGCAAGATCCAGAGAGCTTATAGCTGAAAAGCGCTTAGATAGCGGCAACAATGCAGACATAGAGAGAAGACCAACAACCACCGGTAGCACAACGATAGCATAAAAAATCACATGTTTTAAATTGTTTATTTGTTTTGTTTTGTAAGTTGGTTTACATAGACTTTATGTTAAACGTGTCAACAACCCTGATTCATATTAATGGAAAAAATTAACGTTTAATAAAATGACAACACCAACAAAAACATATGTCACTGTATTAACCGTATTTTTTGTCCATATAGTTAACATTGCTTTTAAGATATATTAAGATTCATTCGTTATATTGCTAAATAATAAACGATCGTCTTTAACCTATGCACATGTTTATATATATTTTATAACCATGTTTATGATTGCGAATACCACACGCCATCTAGCATTAGACCGCAATGTATCCTTTCTAGAAATAATGTGCAAATAAACTAAGACTCTAGTAGATGGCAGTTTGACTAACGCCCCTACACTAAATTAAGAAAATAATAGTTTGTTTTAAATAAATACTAATTTAATAAAAAAAAATCAATGTATCAATTTTTATCATGGGTAAACTATATTTGTATGTTGATTTTTTTCAAATAATAAATCAAAACGCTATAATTTAATTTTTACTTTTTACAACACATTTGTTTATTTACAGTGTAAATTAAAATATAGAAAAAGAGTTTTCAACATAAATAAAAAATAATGATTAGCAAGTAAAAATATATATTAAATTAGATTTCGTATTTTTAAATCATCTCTAACATTTAGGCACAAAGACAAATGTTTAGAAACAAAAAATGATAATTTTCGTTGTAAAAAAAATTTTTTCGATATTTTTAATATCAAACGATTAATAATGTTATTCGAATATTTAAGAGAGTACTATTTCGTTCGAGCTTAAGTAGTCTTAAAGGCAGGGCCGTATTATCAATTTGGCATCAAGGACACTGTATCTAGGACTTACAAAAAATAAGCATTACTAACTGACTTTGAAAACTAGTGTTTATTATAGTCAACGAATTTTTTTTCAATTAGTGCCTAAAGCCAATGGAATGGCTTTATCTAGCCCTGCATCATGTACAATCAAACTAAAAAATGATACACTCTAAATATACTAAAAATGTATATTGAACCTTTATTTTCAACTATAATATTTTACCAAAATACTGATTACTATCAATTTGAGAAAATGATTATACACACTTGATTATACAATAAAAAATTAAGATGCCTACAATTTTAAATATTTTATCACATAGATTTTAGACTACCTTAGTAAAAACTTGAGTATAATTATGATATGCATTCCAACTTTG